TCAAGACTGATGGTAGAGGGAACTTCCAAGCTACTAGGCTGTGGCTGAACTTAGGGCAAAAACATAAACTCCTTAAGTTTTAACAACAGCCCCCAAGCCATGTGTACACCCAACAATAAAGGGTAAAAATATAACTAACTAATGAGATCTACACACAACATTTCACTAGTAAGTAGTTTATGTGGATCAAGGGCTGACTCCTAATGAGCCAGACTAAAAGTGAAAAAGGGGAAAATAAAAGCATTCTTCACAAGGGCATCAGAATTTGTACACTGTGGGAGAAATAGACTTCACATAGTACAATCAAATCATTAAACAAATAAATGGCAAAGAAAACAAGAAAAATAACATCAACCTCCAGTGGGCAGGAGAGGAGAAAGGAGAAGAATCAGTATTGAGAGTTACTAGAATACATTACTTCAAATGTTCAGTTTTTAACAACAGCAGCAACAAAATGATGAGACATTAAAAGAAATAGGAAAGTGTGGCCAATACACTGGATAAAAAGCAGGCAATCGATACTGCTTTTGAGGGGGCCCAGTTGTAGGACATACCAGAAAAAGACGTCAAAGCAGCTGAGTTTATAAATATGTTCAAGGACCTCAAGGAAACCATACTTAAAAGAATTAAAGGAAGTTATGATGACAATGTCTCAGCAAATAAGAATATCAATAAAGAGATAAAAATCACAGGAAAAAATTCTAGAGTTGAAGATTATGATAACTGAAAAGAAAATTTCAGTAAAGGGGCTCAACAATATATTTAAACTAGCAGAAGAAAGAATAAGTGAACTTGATGATAGATTGTTATAGGTTATACAACCTAAAAAGAGAGGGGAAAAAAGGGGAAGAAAAATGAGCAGAACCTCAGGAAATGTGGGACACCATTAAGTGTCCCACCACTTACTGACAGTGGAAGGACCAGAAGACCAAAAAAGGGGTAGAAAAATATTCATAGAAATAATAGCTGAAAACTTCTCAAATTGAAGAAAATCACTGACACATTCATGAAGCTCAACAACTTCCAAGCAGGATAAAAGCAAAGAGATCCATACCTAGATACATCAGAATCAAAATGATGAAAACCACAAATGAAAACAAAATCAGTAAGAGCAAAATGGTTAATTACATATAAGGGAATCCCAATAACATTAACAACTGACTTCTCATCAGAAACAGCAGAGACCAAAGGACAATGGATGACAAATTCAAAGTACTGAAAGTAAAAAACTGTTAACCAAGAATTGTATATCCAGAAGAACTATGTTTCAAAAATTAAGATTCAATAAACAAATAAGAATAGATGAAGGGTTAGAGAATTTTCTGCTAGCAGACCTGCTTTGGGGGAAAAAATTAAAAAACTAAAGGGAGTTATTCAGGCTGAAAACAGGTGACACCAAATAACAATTTAGATCCTTATCCTCACAAAATTAAAAATATTTATGCTAATACTTAGGGAAATACTATAAATAACTGCATGCCAACAAATTACATCATTTAGATAAAATAAACAAATTCCTAGAAACACACAAACTACTAAAACTGACTCAAGAATAGAAAATATGAATAGATCTATAACAAGGAATGATATTAAGTTAATAATTAACAATATTCCCACAAAGAAAATCCCAGGACCAGATGGCTTGTGAATTCTACCAAAAAACTTAAAGAATTAACGTCAATCTTTCACAAACTCTTCCAAAAACAAAAGACCAGGTGGTATTTTCTAATTAATTATTTGAGTCTAGAATTACCCTGATACCAAACCAGGTTAAGATATCACAAAAAATAATAATAACAATAAAACTGCAGACCAATATCCCTTGTGAGTATAGATGTAAAACTACCAGACATAATACTAGCAAACTGAATTCAGTAACATATGAAAAAGATTATATGCCATAACCAAGTGGGATTTATCCCAGGAACGGAAAGCTGGTTTAATATCTGAATATCAATTAATGTAATACACACAATAAGGAAAGAATAGAAAGAATAGTCTTTTCAATAGATGATGCTGAGACAACTGAATGACCACATGCAAAAGAATGAAGTTGTACTCCTACCTGACACCATAGATAAAAATTATCTATCACAGACCTAAATGTAATAGCTGAAACTGTATAACTCTTAGAAGAAAATTTAGGAGTAAATCTTTGTGATCTTGGTTGGGGCAAAGCTTTCTTAGATATAACACCAAAAGCACAAGCAACAACAAAAAATTTGGATAGGTTGTGCTAAATCAAAATTAAATACTTTTCTGCAGTAATATTACCATCAAAAAAGTGAAAAGCAGGGCACCTGGGTGGCTCAGTTGGTTGAGCGTCCAACTTCAGCTCAGGTCATGATCTCACAGCTCATGGGTTCAAGCCCCACATCGGGCTCTGTGCTGACAGCTTGGAGCCTGGAGTCTGCTTCTGATTCTGTCTCCCTCTCTCTCTGCCCCTAACCCACTTGTATTCTGCCTCTGTCTATCTCAAAAATAAACATTAAAAAAAAAAAAGCAAAAAGAGAATCTATAAAATGGGAGAGGATGTTAGTAAATCAAACATCTGATAAGGGACTTGTATCCAGAATATATGAAGACCTTTTACAACTCAATAATAAAAATTCAAATAGCATAATTAAAAATTGGGCAAAGGATTTGAATACACATTTCTCCAAAGATACACAACTAGCCAATAAGAACATGGAAAGATGCTCAACATCATTAATCATTAGGGAAATGGAAATCATAACCCCAATGAGATATCTCTTTATGCCCACCAGGATAGTGATAACCAAAAAGACAGATAATAACAAGTGTTGAGAAGTATGTGTGAAAATTAGAATACATTAATGGAAATGCAAAATGGTACAGTCACTTGGGAAAAGAGTATGGCAGTTCCTCAAAACGTTAAGCACAGAGTTACTATATGACCCAGCAATTCCACTCTTTGGCATATATCCAAGAGAAATGAAACATATGTCCATACAAAAACTTATACACGAAGGTTTTTAGCAGAATTATTCATAATTGCCAAAAGATAAGAAAAACAAATATCCACCAACTGATGAATGAATAGATAAAATGTGGTATATTCAAAAATGGAATATTATTCAACAACAAAAAATGGATTAAGTACTGATTCATGCTAAATGTATGAACTTGGAACACATGCTACATGAAAAAAAACAGCACAAAAGACTACATGGTGAATTATTATGTTCATGTGAAATTTCAGAATAGGCAAATCCATAAAGATAGAAAATTAGTGATTGCCTTGGGCTTAGGAGGGAGGTAAGGGAGGAAGGCAAAGAAACTGCTAATGAGTATGGAGTTCCTTTTCAGGGTGATGAAAATGTTCTACAATTAGACCACGCAGTAGTTGCACAATTCTGTGAATATACTAAAAACCACTGAATTGTAGATTTTATTTTTTTTTTCAACGTTTTATTTATTTTTGGGACAGAGAGAGACAGAGCATGAACGGGGGAGGGGCAGAGAGAGAGAGGGAGACACAGAGTCGGAAACAGGCTCCAGGCTCTGAGCCATCAGCCCAGAGCCCGATGCGGGGCTCGAACTCCCGGACTGTGAGATCGTGACCTGGCTGAAGTCGGACGCTTAACCGACTGCGCCACCCAGGCGCCCCTGAATTGTAGATTTTAAATGGGTGAATATTATGTATGTGAATTATACCTCAGAAAAGATGTTTGTTTGTTTGTTTGTTTGTTTGTTTGTTTGTTTGTTTGTTTTTTAACCTGACCATCTACTTCTATACTGGATCTTTCTTTTGGCATTAGAGAAAGTCAAAACTTTCTATAAACTTTTTAGAGAATGTTAACTAGTTTCTATAAAATAGTTCCTCTGTCATAGTTAAATAGTCCAAGAATACATGAATAGTCCATGAGCAGTCCACAGGAAAACAGTCCACGATTGGTCCAAGACTGACTGACAGCTCACTGGTGACTGGTTATATATCCCTGATCTAGTCACTTATACTGTCTGTTGGAGCTGAGCAAGGGTGCTGATAAGTAAAGGCAGAACTTCCCCTGGATAATTCCTTCCATTAGAGTCCTCAGGTTCTGTAAAAATAATTAACTCCAATCAATTCCATATGTAAAAATCTGTTCCCTATCTCATTAATTCTTCTTTTTTATTTTTTAATTTTTAAACTTTTTTTTAAACGTTTTATCTTTGAGAAACAGAACATGAGCAGGGGAGGGGCAGAGAGAGACACACACACAGAATCTGAACCAGGGTACAGGCTCTGAGCTGGCAGGACAGAGCCCGACACAGGGCCCCAACCCACGAACTATGAGATCATGACCTGAGCCAAAGTCAGATGCTCAACAGACTGAGCCACCCAGGCACACCACTTTTTTAATTTTTAAAAACATTTTTAAGTTTATTTATCTTAAGAGAGAGAGAACGTAATTGGGGAAGGGGCACAGAGAGAGGGTGAGAGAGAGAATCCCAAGGAGGTTCCACATCACCAGGGCAGAGCCCAATGTGGGGCTTGAACTCACACACTGTGAGATCATGACCTGAGCTGAAGTCAGAAGCTTAACTGCTTGAGCCACCCAGAAGCCTCCCTAATTTGTTAATTCTAAAAATTTCTGCACATTGAGGTTGCTTGGAGGAAATTATAGTTTTTCTATCCTATGCACACTTATCTCCATGCTCTGGAGAATGAAACTAATATTGTATTAGCTATAAGTTGTTAAGCGATAGGGCTGATAGATATTGTGGACCAATAGTTGTAGATCTTCATTTAAAAGGCAACCCTACACAGTCAGCTTTCTTTCAGAAAGAAATAGAAGAAAGGGAAGAAAGGAAGAAGGAAGAAAAACAAATATAAGAGCAGAGAATTCATTAAGCCAGTGGAATGAGAAATGATTTTTATCTTCCTTCTTATCATCTAAATTGTAATACGAATCATGCATACTATAATCAACTAAATCACATGACGTTAGTTTTATAAGGTACCCAGCAGATTGACTTGAAAAGACAAAGAATACCTTCTGGGGGAGTCCCAATGCTGCTTCCAAGACCCAAAATAGCCATCTTGTGAATCCTTGGCTCCAGCATCACAGCAGATTCTTCCCCCCTCTCCCAGTGGGGTATTTTGACCGGCTCCAAGTGGACATTCTCCAGCCCATCTTCCTGCAGGTTCTGGTGCATGATTTGGATGGCTTTTTCTAAGCTCTTGGAGCCACTTGGTCTGGGTCCAACAGTATCCACCAGAAGTGCCAGTCGCTCATAGGATCTGTTCTGGGCTTTACCATAAACAGCAAGGTTGATGATTGCTTTAGCAACATCTCCATAGCTGGCTATTTCTTCTTTAATTTCTTGAAAAGACCTCTGAGAGATGTCATTCTTACATATCGTTTTCCCAGAGCTCAGGGATAAAAGGTGAACAACACCAACAAATGTGAGAAGAAGGAACTTCATTGATTTTTCCAGTTGGTTTTCTTCCTAAAATAATCTATTAAGTAAAAAAAAAAAACAAACAACAAACAAAAAAAAAACATGTTTTAGGGGGAAAGAATCTCACAGCTATCTGCCCATAACCCAGAAATTGCTTTTCTTTTCTTTATAATAGATTTTTTTAAGTTTTATTTATTTATTTTGAGAGAGAGAGGGGGAGAGAGAGAGGGAGAGAGCATGAGCTGGGAAGGGGCAGAGAGAGAAGGAGAGAGAGAATCCCAAGCAGGCTCTGCACTGTCAGCACAGAGCCCAAAGTGGGGCTCGAACTCACTAACCGAACCATAAGATTATGACTTAAACCAAAATCAAGAGTGGGAAGCTTAACCAGGTGTCCCCCAGGGACTACTTTTCAAACAGGAGTCCCCTTCTCTTCTCAACCACTGCCCAACTTCCATCATCAAATGCAGGCACCATAAGTCGCAGGAATGAAAAAGTACAGAGACAATGATTGGCTTAATATGCAGTATTTATTAAAACAACAGAATCACATGTTACCTAGTAATCCAGTTTAAAATATGCTAAAAGGTTGGGGTGCCTGGGTGGCTCAGTTGATTCAGCGTCTAACTCTTGATTTTGTCTCAGGTCATGATCTCAGGGTTCGTGAGTTCAATCTCCACAAGGGGCTCTGGGCTCTGGGCTCTGTGCTGACACGGTGAAATCTGCTTGGGATCCTCACTCTCCTCTCTCTGTGCTCCTCCCCTCCCCGCACCCCTCCCCAGCCTGCTCATGTGATCTCTCAAAATAAATAAATAAACATTTTTAAAAATATGCTAAGAGGTTAAAATAGAACAACTAGGAAAGAGAGGAAGAAACAGTGTTACCAGTGTGTAGCAGTCATAGGGCTCAGAAACTACTGTCTGCTGCTCCTCCCTCTTAATAGACTATGATCCAAATGGGTTTTAGAGTTCCCTGTACCTGATATGCTCTCTCCTATCTGCCTATTGAACTCGTCCATCAAGGCCGCTGCAGATATTATCTTTTCCTGGTGCTTTCTCTAACCCCACCTGCTCCACATTTAATCCTCACAACAACTCTATGAGATTCTTTTTTAAAATATTTATTTACTTAAATAATCTCTACAACATGGGGCTTGAATTCACAACCCCAGGATCAAGAGTCACGCGCTCTTCTGACAGAACAAGCCAGGTGCCCCTCTATGAGATAATTTCTTAAAATTACTTTCATTTTATAAAAGAGGATCCTGGGGTAGTAAAAGATTAAGTGACTTGCCATAGACACACAAAGGCTTTCTCACTCTAGAGTCCATCCTCTAAATGCCTGAAAGTATGGTTTGAGGGCCAATGCCAGTCCACAGCTGTTTTTCACTAATGTACAATAAATACAGAGGTTAAGAGCAAACACATCCCGTGCTGTGCAGCAAAGTAACCAATAGCCTCATGTGATTATTTCAATTTAAACTGATTTAAATGAAATAAAATATTTAGCTTTTCAGTCATAGTAGCTGCATTTCATATGCTCAATAGCCACATGTGGCTAGCAGCTACCATATTGGGCAACACAGATAAAATATTTCCATCATCATAAAAGGTTCTATTGGATAGCACTGATTTAGACATCTTTATATACAATTGACTGAGTAATTGTACCTTTGTCTAACCTATGATTAAAAAGTGGTGCTTCTCTTTGTGTGTCTCTTCTATTTCATTTTTCAAATTCACTGCTATTGTATTTTGCAAAAGTCTAATAAACTTGACATTTTAAAAACTGGTCTTTCACCAGAGATAATTTGAGAATCGCAGTCATGAACTACTATATTATAGGGGTAAATTTCAAATTCAGCCAGCATACAAGGCCTTTCAAAATAAGGCTCCAACAACCACTTCAAACTCATCTCTCTACTTCCCCCTCTGGAGCACACAAATGTCTTCCTTCTTTTTCTCATTCTCTCTTCCTCTCTTTCCTTCTTCCTTTTTTCCTTTCTTTCTCTATCAAACACACGCGCGCGCACACACACACACACACACCCACACACACACATCTTAGGGAAGCTTCTAGATATACTGAGCATTTGAAATGGGGTACTAGTCCAAATTGAGATATTTTTTAAGGTAAAATATATACCTGATTTAATCTTTAAAACCAAATACTTCATATTTAAGTATGAAAAACAACATAATTATTAGGTTAAATAAAATATTATTTACCTGTTTCTTTTATGTTTTAATATGAAATTAGAAATGTTTAACTTACATACTTATATTTATATGGGACAGTAATGCTCTAGCTGCATTGAACTTGACACTGTTCTTCTAACACCCAGGCCCCTTCATTACTCTAGATCTCTGCATATTTTCCTTCTCTTTGACCCCAAGGCCCTTCTCCTCACCCTACTCCTCTGCTCCTGGTAAAGGTCTCCAGAGACTCATTCTTTAATGAAAATGTTTTAAAAATCACCTCTTGTGCGGAGTCTCACCAAACACCACTGCAGAGTTAATTGCGCCATTGTCCATGCTTCTTCCCTAATTAACAATATTACCAACTAATATATTTGTTTATAAATTTGCCTCTCCTACTCTCAAAGTCAAGTAGGGTAAATTATTCATCACTGTACCTTCAATCATTGTACCCCTATGTAAGCATAGGGTGCAGTACATTTTCATTTAGGGAATGAAGGAACCCTTAATCTCTCCAGGTCTTAGAGTCTTGTCTTTCCTCCTATACAAAGAAGCTGAGGGAATAAAAACTTGTGATCATATTTAAAATGTTTTGAAAAATTATGAAAACTATACATTGCTGTTGCTTTCTTTTTTATTAGAACTATTTATATGCATAGGTTCTTGGTTTCTATAGTCACTATTATTGATGCTTGTTTTTAAAAGCTAAATTTTATTAAACCATGGAAATATTTCACCAGATTGCAACTTATTCTTGAAGTACATTCTTTCAATGTGTTGTTGGTGCAAAAAAAAAAAAAAGGAAAGGCTAATAACATATTTATCAATTAACACTAACCATAAGTATCTACTTCTCATTAAAAATTCTCTAAGCATCCCATAGACATTAACTATTTCATAATACATACATTCTAGTAATGGCTTAGAATCATATAATGGCAATTTTGTGGAGATACAGGAGAGCTTAGGAATCCCTAGTCCATACACTTGTTTTGTAGAAACAGGGCCTGTGCTGTGATTCCCAGGTAGCAGATAAACCAACAAGTACAATCAACCAGGTAACTGGACCAACTAGTACAGACTTGCCAGAGGATTAAAAATTGTTTTCTTACAGGAAGCTGTATGCATTTACATATAATAGAAATTCAATGGACACTCAAGTGCAGTCTGAGAAGCAAATAACTCTAATATAACATATGTACTCAAATAGTCTCAACACCATAGCACTAGAACATAGAGAAGAACAAGAGAAATCATGAAAAGCCATGGAGAAGACGTGACAACTCAAGAGAGACTCAAGGAAAGGCTCCACAGGAAGAGAAGGGAACCCTCCTGGAGGGACCACTGGGACATCATCCCTCAGTCACATTCTGTTCAGAAGATATGTTCATAAAATAAGTGCCTGAATCTTTTATTTTTACATTTTTTGCATATATGTCAATTGAATTAATAGAAAACATGCCATTTTGATAATAAGACTTAACTGCTCTCTAATGTGATCATTTAAATTAATTTTGACATGAAAAAATGATGTAATTACTTTAAAACAGAAACTAGTATCTTTGAGTATTGTTCTTAATATCTTAACTATACTTTGTCTTTAAATCCTACAAATGTAATAAATGCTTATTTTTAAAAGTAATTTAATTTAAAAGATGATTATTTGTTACTTTCAATGGATCAGTTTGTTCCTTGACTGTAATATTAGTACTTTAGAAAATTTACAAGATTGAAGACACAAAACAACAAACTACATGAGAAATCACCTAAGAACACTTGACATAAGTAAACACTAAATAGATACTAGTTGATCCTAAACCTGATTTTCCTTGGAACATAATCTGAAAATTACTGATGTAATTCTTGGCTAAAGAACATAATTATATACCTCTCCAACAGAGCACTCCAAGAATCTTTTATTATTGTTGTTTTTAGGAAGGCACATTAGCCCAACTGAGATATGTTTTTGTTAATAAATAGTAGAAAATAATAATTATTACTAACAGTATATAGTTGGAGAGGTAACAAAAATAGAAAAAGATATCACTATATCACATTCCATGCAAGAAAAACACTGTAAATAATATGTAATTTAAAAACAAATCATGCAGGGGTGCCTAGGTGGCTCAGTCAGTTAAACATCTGACTTTTGATTTCAGATCAGGTCATGAGCTCATGGCTCATGGGATTGACCCCCACATTGGAGCTTCCAGTGACTGTACATTCATGATTTTATCAAATTTTCTGTTTTGTTGGGGGAACCTAAGCTGTCAGCATAAAGCCTGCTCAGGAATCTCTCTCTCCCTCTCTCTCTGCCCCACCCCTGCTTGCACACTCTCTCTCGAATTAATAAATAAAACTTTAAAAACAAATAATGGAATCCAATACATAATTTGTACATGCCTAGCAAGAAATAAAGATTTAAAATACAAATTAAAATAGTGAAACACAGAAGCTATATAAAGGCCAATGATCAAGAACACCTTGAGGAAATGCTCTCCTAATTCACACATTAATTGATAATGTGATCACCACACATCAAAAAATTTATTCCGGACCTAGAGTCAGTTCAAATGAAAATGATCAATGTAGGGGCGCCTGGGTGGCTCAGTTGGTTAAGATTCCGACTTCGGCTCAGGTCACACATGATCTCATGGTTCGTGAGTTCCAGCCCCACATCAGGCTCTGTGCTGACAGCTTGGAGCTTGGAGACTGCTTCGGATTCTGTGTCTCCCTCTCTCTGTCTCTGCTCCTCCCCCACCTGTGGGCTCTCTCTCTCTCTCTCTCCCTCTCTCTCTCTCTCATCAGCCCTCCTCAGTCTGAAAAGACATAGGCCAAAAGTAGAAATATTTTGGTGTATGAA